CGATGCGTGGGAGAGGGCCGGCGTTCCTGATCGTCTGCGCGTTGAGCTTGCGATAATCGATGCACAACCGCAGGTCCTTGTTCTTCTTCCGGACGAAGAGAACAGGAGCACCGTATGGCGATGAGCTGGGCCGAATCCAGCCTTTCTCTAGAAGGTCGTCGAGTTGTGCCCGAAGCACACTTAACTCTTCCTCGCTCATTCGGTAGATGCAACCGCGCGGAGGTACGGCCCCGTCCTTGAGGATGATCTCGTGGCGGATGGGTTGATCCGGTACTACTCCGTGCGGGCCTTCGAACACGTCGTTGTAGGCGTCGAGAAGTTTGGTGATGCGTGGATCCGAAGGTGAGTCCGTCGATGAAGCGTCATGTGGCGGGAGGGCGTGGAGAAAACACACCCCCATCTCCTCGATGTCGTCTCTGATGATGGAAGCTCGCATGCTTGCGGCGGATACCACGTGGCAGCTGATCGAAGGATGAGGAAGAGGCACCATGCATGGGATTAATACTTCGTTCCTGTCACGAACGTGAACGGTGCGGTTGAAGAAGTTCACCGGGTGACTTTGCTTCGCAGCCATGACATGCCCAAGATCATGTCGAATTTGGTGTCCAGAAYGTCAAAGGACACCGCCTCACTTGCGTGAGGGGCAAAGTACACTGGGACGGCGTCAATGCACCGGTCGATGGACTTGTGCGTATGCCCGTCTGCCAGGGTGACTTGCRTAGGCTGGGACTTCCTCCGGACACGTGGGCCAAGGCCGGCGCGTACCATGAAGTCCTGGCTGATGTAGTTGCGAGATGCTCCGCAATCGATCAAGGCACTGCAGGTCGCCTCTCCAAGCGTATGTATAGCAATGGTGCGTCGATGTCGTCGTACCGTTGCGTCTTGAACTCGCGGTCGATCTTCGCGACGAAAGCGTGAAGGTCGACAACCTCTACTCCGGCGTCCATCAATGGAGTTGGTACTGCAGTGTGCAAGTAGTCCCACAATTGTGTCATAAGCACGTTGCAATGCGGTTTCGGTAATCGTCCGGTTGAGGGAACGGGCATCCACTGGAAGTCCGTGAACGTCAATGGGTCGAGCTCTTCGAGTCTTGACCATGACGTCGAATCCCCCGCGATAGATTGCGGCGAAGCTGCCGAATCGGTTGCCGATGGTGATGAAACCGTGCATGCGGTGGACTGTTGCACGTGGAGCGGTTGGTCCAGCGGTGGAACCAAGTGGACAGCATAATCCTCGTAAGTATACCGAGGACTTGCGACATTCACATCCTCCCCGGATGTGCAGGAGGCCGCTAGCCAGGCGGCCGAATCTGGCGGAGTAGAAGGTGGAGTCGCCTCACCTTCCGCGGAGCTCAGTTTCCCGAGCTGTGGCGGGGTCGCACATCCTCCTTGCGCTGATCTTGGCACAGGGAGGTCCTGTGCTTGGTGTTGTTGCACCAATAGCAGTTGCCGTAGCGGCCGCGAACCTTGTACTCCGCCTCGGTCAAGCCAAACTTGACCCATGGAAACTGTCCTGGCTGTCCATTTCCGGCCTGCGATGCGGATTTCGCCTTCCCATTGTTGCGGGACTTGTTGGTGCTTCGCGGCTGGACAGCGGCCACCTGATCTCCGTCACTTGATGCTGGAGTGGTTGCTCCACTGTCCTGCTGGACTGCAGCGAAGTGCTGCTGTCGCGGACCAGTTCGTACCTTCTCCACATAGGTCGGCTGCCATGATGTTGATTTCTTGTGTGCAGCTGACCTGTTGGTCTTGATGATCTCCCTCGCTTTGTCAATGATCTCCGCGAAGGTTGAGTACTGCTCGCGATCACCAAGAGTCTGGCTCAATGCCGCACAGGACCTGTTGTAGAACTCACGGCGTAGATGCTCGAATGGTAGGTTCAGATTGGGCACAGCCGCAATCTTCTGCCACTCCGTGAGCCAGTCCCGTGTTGCTGTGTTGCCCTGTGACATGGTGAACAAACGGTTGATGGCGAGTGTCGGCGCGTCGTCGACGATGAACCGCTTCTTCCACAGCCGTGTCATTTCCTCCCATGTGATTACGTCCTTCAAGTCTGGTGCGTCGACGCCGTGGGAGGTTGCCAGGTGGCTCAACCAGGTCTGGCATCCGCCCTTTGAGTTCAGGAACARGGCGCCGATGTACGCATGCTTGGCTACTGGCAGAATCCKGAGTTGCGTTGTGAATGCTTCCCACCAGAGGACGGGATCCTGCTGCGTGTAGTCGCCGAACCTCTCCAGGTTGAAAGTTGGCATCTTGTACATCTTCGGATTGTCGTCCGCGTTCGTCGACTGCAGCTTCTGGACCTCGGTCTTCAATGTATGCAGCTAACTGCTGATGGTGGTGGTCGGCGYAGCGAAGGTGCTGATGTCGCCGAGCATTGCCACTACGTGGTCAACGCGGTCCTCCAGTTGGCGGCTTGAGGGTGCACTGCTGRAAGATCCAGCAGCTGGTCCTGGTACAGCCTGTTCCAGGTYCAACAATCGGGCATTGAGTGCCCGAGTTGCATCCTCGTGGCTCTGCACTGTGCGGCGGAGCGTCGCCAACTCCTGATGCTGTTGCGTCAGGTCCCGGTACTGTCTCTCCAACTCTGACCKTTGGTAGTTGCAAGCATACAACAACCGCGTCACGAGTTTGGAGAGGAACTCCTTGTGCTTCTCTTCCGGTGTTGCCTCGTCGCCGTTCGATTTAAAATGCCAGTACTTGAGTCTGTCGATGCTGTTGGCTTCATGCCGCTGCAGCAGATCCTGGGCTTCCTTGCGGCGAGCCTGGGCATCTGCGTCTGCATCGGCCTGTAGCCGCAGCTTCTCTGCTGCTGCTGCCTCTTCAGCCTGTACGCGGGCAGCCTCGACTGCCAGCAGGCGTTGTTCCTCAGCCTCTATCTGAGCCAGGCAACGCTGCTTGTAGGCGGCAATGGTCTCATTGGCCAGTTGGCCTGGCAGGCCCGTCATGTTGCTGACGTGGCACTGCTGATGTGGCACTGCTGACGTGGCACTGTGTCTGACGTGGTACTGCTGACGTGGCACTGCTGATGTGGCACTGTGTCGGACGTCACTGCTGACGTGGCACTGTGTTTGATGTGGCACTGCTGTCGTGGCACTATGTCTGACGTGACAATGTGACCTGGCACTGCTGACGTGGCACTGCTGATCTGGCACTGTGACGTGGCACTGCTGACGTGGCACTGCTGACGTGGCACTGTGCTTGATGTGGCACTGCTGTCGTGGCACTATGTCTGACGTGACAATGTGACCTGGCACTGCTGACGTGGCACTGCTGATCTGGCACTGTGACGTGGCACTGCTGACGTGGCACTGCTGATCTGGCACTGTGACGTGGCACTGCTGACGTGGCACTGCTGATGTGGCACTGTGTCGGACGTCACTGCTGACGTGGCACTGTGCTTGATGTGGCACTGCTGTCGTGGCACTATGTCTGACGTGACAATGTGACCTGGCACTGCTGACGTGGCACTGCTGATCTGGCACTGTGACGTGGCACTGCTGACGTGGCACTGTGACTTGGCACTATGACGTGGCACTGCTGACGTGGCACTGTGACTTGGCACTGTGACATGGCACTGCTGACATGGCACTGCTGATCCGTTTTTTTTTTTTTTTTATATATCTGTCGATTTATGATGAGTAGGATATGTCAGAAGAGTATTATGAACGAGATCTAGGCTAGGTGCCGCAAAGTTTTGGCGTTTACAAACTGCGATCTTGAAAAAAAAATTTTGCGAAATGGAGTAAAGATGCGATTTTCAGAAACTGGATTTCGTTCTTTTCTGAAAATCGGAGGTAGTAAAGATGCGATTTTGAAAATCCATCTCGCATATGCCTAACGCAATATTCTCGGAAACTGAAAATCGCTCGGGGACCAAAAAAATTTTTAAATCCAGTTTCTGAAAATCGCATCTTTACTACCTCCGCATATGCCTAACGCAATATTGGTAGGCTTCGCAAGATTCGGTTTTCAAAAAAAAAATTTGCGAGATAGAATGGAAATGCGATGTTCAGAAAAGAATAATTTCAGTTTCCGAGAATATGACCACTTCTATCGTTATCCCAATATGCCTAGAGAACGAAAATACTAACTTCAGAAATTTCAGCTATGTATGCGAAATATCABAGARRCGAAATGCTACTATCGGGAATTTTCAGACAAAACGAAATGCGATTTATCAGAAATTTTCAGATATTTGTTACGTAAAAACGAACTACTAATATCAGAAATTTTCAGATAGAACGAAAATGCGAATATCAGAAATTTCAGATAGTTGTTTCGAGAAAAAGTTTTCAGAGATTTGACTAAGTCCTACTTGCGTTACTAATGAGTGATCAATAGATCGCAAGCTGGCTACTTGATTGAGCGGGTCCTCTGTATGAGAGGTCCGCTCCGATACCAAACTGTTGCATACTGTAACGTGCAGACCAGAACAAGAACCGACCTTTCAATACGAAGTATAAGATAGCACAACGGAAGACTTAGATACCAGTGATCCGAACAATCAAT